TAAAACAAATTGAAAATATTATTTGTCCTGAAATTGATTTGTCCTGAAATTGATTTGTCCTGAAATTGATTTGTAGAAACCCACCTGATCCATTAATTCTCAGCTCTACTTTTCACCGAACTCTACAAATTGTCATGCAGAGATAATTTCAAATAGTTTGCAGAAATTTAGCGGAACTTTTAAAGAAAATCATTGCAATTATTTCATCATCATACTAAATTTCACTTTATAAATTATAGAAATTGTGCCTATACTTTTCTTTACCTTGGCTTGCAAGTTGCAATAACTCACTCTAATGTATAGACATGTGTAAAAATTTAAATGGTTTTGTGACCTAGTAGCTCCACGCACGCACCCCTGACCCATTAGTAAAAGTAAATTCAATCTAAAGTCTGACCACGTCAACCTTGTTGCACCGGCTAATGCTTTATCTACCCAAAGGCCGGGCGATACAGTACAAACTGGGACCGGAAAGGTTGACCCGGCTCGGAAATTAAAATGTACTACGGATGTCCGTGGTTCCTCTAGTACTTTGATTTTATGTCCAAGAAAGGGAAGAGAACAATTATTTGGGGGCATGAATTTGTTAATTTCTTTGTCTTCTTCATAGCTCTTCGGAAAAAGGAGCAAAGCATAGATTAATAACAACACAGATAGAACACGCATGTGGCGTAGAACAGGCTCTCTCTTTGTCTTGTAATTTAAAGCAGCATGCACGTAACTCATTTGGGCTTCTGCCTCCGGGTTATTGTTAACGAAAAACCCATAAACCTTCAAAAGACGACATCTGTGTTGTTCTTAATCTATGGAGCTACGATTAAAAATATGTAAACTTTCAATATTTAATTTGAAGTGAATCTTGCTGTGTTTTTGTTTATTTTTTTTATTAAAAATTCCAACAGGAAAAGTTAAAAACTTTAAAGGAATTGAGTCTGATCAAAGGTTTACACCATAAGGATTAGAAAATCCGAGTTTGTGGCAAAGACTCAATTGATTTAAAAACGGAAAAATAAAAACTCGCTTTGGATTTTCAAACAATTTGTTAATAGTTTTTGGTTTTGTTCTCAAGAATTTCAAAATAATATCAAATTTATTTTCGCTTCGTTTTCAAAATCTTTTCAAAAAACAATGGCTACCCCGTACTTGTTAGGGTAAATATAAAGAGATATCCTGGATAATTATTTTTCTTCCGATTTTCTTGCATTTATTAATTTGTCATTGTTCTGTATCTCCCAAATAAAGCCAAGTTTGGTGATGATATTAAGGAAAGGGTATCAGAAACTCTCTCTGAAGAAGTTTTGAAAAGTGCAGATGAGCTGTCCAGATCAAGAGTTTGGAAAGATTGCAGTTGATGACATTATTGAAAAATGGGAGGAGTTTGATAATTTCAAGAAACAAGACAATCAAACTGTAGAGGATTTTATTTCAGATTTTGAATCTAAATATAACAGAATTAAAGCACACGGTCAGCCGTAATACATTTGAATTTACGAGCCGGGTGAACCTTTCCGGTTCTAGTTTGTACTGTACCTAGCTCTATGGACAGGACGGTACAACAAGGTTGACGCGGTCAGACTTTTTGCTTCATATAGGTTAACTTTACTCTTACTAAAAGTGTAGATTTTTGTGAGCATCAGGATCAAAGCTACCGGAGGAATTACTTCCATACATGATCATGAAGAGAGGTCATGATCATAGCACGAATTGATATGGAAGACAAGGCTAACTCGTTTAAGAATACAAAGATCAACATGATTAGGGAAAAGGTTGCAGAATAAAGATAAAGGTATAGATAAACTAAAGTTTGAACCAGCATATCTGGCTGAACTGATAAAACTGTAGTCATTACCATTAAAAGTTTATTCATATGGCTTTCCAAATAGTAATTCTTAAGGAATTGAGTCTTTGCCTATATCTCTGCAACCTAATGGTGTAAACCTTTGACATTTCGAACTGAAATTATTTGATTATTAAAGAATTAATACTAAGAATATAAAAAGTCTTTGACATTGGGTTGCAAAGACTCAATTTCTTTGCAGAGATAAGAGTTGTAAAAATTAAAAGTAAACAACGGTTTGGGATGCTAGATTATTAATTTCATAATTTTCGATAAAATACGAGTTTTTAAAATAATAATAATAATAAAAACAAAGTCTGAAAAATGGATTTCTTAAAAAAATGAGATGGTCTTTAAAGTATTAAACAATGATTCACCTGTATTTCCCAGCAAGAATACCAATTTCCCGAATTTTTCGATCCGTTCAATAATTTTCAAATATCAGCTGTTCAATTAAGTTCTACTTTTCTCGCACTGTTGAATTTATTGTAGTTTTCTTTTATTTCCAAATGCTTAACCTAGCGAAACTTTTAATTTTCAAGTAAAATCGTTTATGTTAACATGGAATAATAAAGGGGGTTAATAAAATGGAAATAATTGTTTAAATAATGATTTTTCAAACTTGGATCAAATTTTATCTAAGAGAATTCATAGTTTGAAACAAGACATTCGTATATGTATATGTTGTCTATAGCCGGCTGGACCGATTGGGCTGAATTTTTTTGTGGACACTCATGGGTGGCCGGTGGGTGTTTAAGGCTAAATAAATTCAAAATTTTTGCTCAAAATATTTTTTTCAAATATTTAAAAAAAAATTTTTTAATTTTTTCACGGGCAACGTCTGGCCCTTCAGCTAGTATGAAATAAAAGTAGATAATAATTTAATTAACAATTAAATCTAAAAAAGGTTAATTATCTCTTTAGCAGCGCGCATGTAACGGCTAGTGCTTTGAATGGTTCAGTAAGTCCAGAGCAAATTTGAATATATTTCTTTCGTTAAACATAGGTGATGGGGGGGGGGGAAGGTTGTGATAAACGTGGAGTTTTTAGCCTTATTTCTTGACTGGCTATATAGTTCAGTTTTTAAAATTTCTGAAATTTTTGAAATATATTTGCATAGTGGAAGTCTGAAACGGTCCCTGACAAAGTAAAGGAATTGAGTTTTTACCACAAACTCTGGTTTTCTAATCCCTATTTCTTTGCAACCCAATATTTAAAATATCAAAGGTCTATCAGATTGCAAAGATATATGAATTAGAAAACTATAATATTGGCAAATGCATTGGCCTCTATAACTCTGACATGGTCAGTGCTCATGTCAAGTTAAAGTAAATTGATTAGATGATTAGCTGAAGTGCTTGGCCCAAGAAATTTTTTTAAAATAAAAAGGAATTGAGTCTTTGCCACAAAATTAGATTTTCTAATCCTTATATCTTTACAACCCGATTGTGTAAACTTTTGATATTTCAAAATTTATTATTTTGGTTTCACTGAATTCATAGCTTGAAATATTTAAGGTCTACCACTTTGCTTTGCGAAGATATAAAGATTTGAAAATAAGAGTTTCTGGCAAAGACTTTGAAGAAAAAATTTAGATTTTAGAAAAAAAATAATTTCGAGTTTAGAAAAAAATTCGATTTCATGATATTGCATTTGTTGTCAAACATAACTTCTCTTTTAAGAGAGCAGTTTAAAAACCAGAAAAAGTTTGATTGTCTAGAAAAGTTTGATTGTCTAGAAAAGTTTGATTGTCTAGAAAAAGTTTGATTGTCTAGAAAAGTTTGATTGTCTAGAAAAAAATTTTTGAATTTGAAATTATATAATTTGCATATTTGAATCTGAAAGTTATATATTTATAAAAGAATTGAATAACATAATATTATAGTATTGTGTCATAAGGAGCGGAAGTTGCATTTATAAACCAAGGCCAATAGATTCTAGCAATAAGCCCCTCTAGGTATTAAATATTTTAGCGAATTTCATGAAAAATGTAAATAAACAAAATTAGACACCTGCAATATTTTTTAACGAATTCATTTTAAAGTTCCAATTTAATTTTTTTAAATAGTGAATTTTTATATTTGGTTGAGAATTTAGAACATTATTTCTTTGCAATCTGATGGTGTAAAGCTTTGATATTTTAAACTTAGCTTGTTTGATCTAACTTAATTCATGGTCTGGAATATCTGAGGGATATATGGTGATTGGAAAATCAGAGTCTATTGCAAAAACTTAATTCTTTTTGGACTTAGAATTGATAACAATCAGATTTTTTGAATTTTTTCCTGACCAATTACTTTCTGAATAGGGATAGATAGATAGATTCTAGATAAACTGAAACAGACCACTAATGCAAGCTGTATTTACCCTCTGTACAAGTATACGCTACTTGCCGCAACTCATTAAATCCAATGTACTGTAGCTAGTAGCTAATACCACAGCTAAATTGCTATTTTCAAATTCAGCTATAAAAACCTCCGGTATGGTGAAGACGACATGGGCTATCTATTCTATTTTACCTGGGGTATAGATTCACTGCGTATACTGTTCATTTAAATAATATTTGTTTTAAAACAATACAAGAAAACGGAAATTCAGAAAAATGAAATGCTTTAAATGATATTTGAAAGAAGCAATTATCTATTTCTTGTTTAGAACTTGATAAAATGGCAAAAGCAAGATAAAAAACTAAAAAACAATGTTATATGTCATGCAACAATATTTCATATAATAATTAATCTAGTTTGATTGCAATTGAAAAAATCAATCCCTTCCCTGTCCCACCTTTTTCATTCCTTTCCTAGTTCCCGTCTNTATAATAATTAATCTAGTTTGATTGCATTTGAAAAAATAATAAGAGCATCCTCTCCCTTCCTCTCCCCAGTCCCCTCCTTTTCAATCCCTTCCCTGTCCCACCTTTTTCATTCCTTTCCTAGTTCCCGTCTTTCGCAATCTTCCCTTCCTACCAACCCTCTTCTACTTCCTTCCGGTTTCTGACTTTCTCTCTTTAACCATCTTCTTTACTTGCATGGTCCCTTCTCTCCGTTGTCACATTCCCCCTTTTTCCCCTTCTCCCTTGCCACCTCCCCTCCTCTGAACTCCGGCTGTAGTTGAAATCTCCGGAACCTGTTCTACAGTAACTGTATGAACGCAGGCGCGGGTGGCGCCTCCTCTGCTCGACTCACAATTTAGAATTTAGAACAAAACAGTCGAGATCTAACCCTCAAACAGTGAACATAAACCCACTCTATGCTTCAAATTTAGAAAACTTGTATTTTAAATGATTAAAAGTAGGGAAAAAAGTCTAACTATAACAGTGATATGATATCTCAATAATATTAAAAACTAAAGGTTTGATAAACGAAAGTGAAAGTTGAATAATACACAAAGCTCAGAGAGAACGAGAGAGAGAGAGAGTGGAACAACTTTCTCTGAAACTGTTTGGTATGTATGAGCTGGGGGAATGGAGGGAAAACGGGTTATATTTTATTGGGGAAGGGAGGTAGGGGGGATTTATTTTTATCATTGCCCTACCCTCGTTTCATTATGAAACCATTTACAAGAAAAATATGATTTCATCTCCCATCATATCTCACAATGATATGTTATAAAAGGGTGCAGTTATAATTGCAAAAATCCATATAGTAAGACGGACCCAAACTAACTTCAACATCCTTCCTGTATTGGAATATTTTCAGTCTATCTTAGCTCTTAATTCAAAATCCGTTTAAGCTACCTAATATATCTAAAATTATAGAATACAAGGCCCGACTATAAAGTGTGGAATAGCAAATATAAATATCTACATTAAATGAGTGAAAATGGGTTCTAAAGTTAAGACTCCCTGAACCTACCGTACGCCGTGGTATTGGGCTCCAAATTCTAAAGGGCTTACTGTCGTCTCAAATTGAATCAATTGAGATTATGGACGACACTTTTCGTAGTCTTTTTAGTCTGTGACTAGTGGTAACACCCCTCAACCAGTATATACCTATATAATCCTGATTACCTTTAGTTCGTGACAACTCTATTTACTTTTAAAGTTCAAGTTAATTTTGTTACAAAACCTCAAATTTTCATCATTAGAGATTTTGTGATCCCAATCAAAATAATGCCATACATCATTACATTGAATTGACAATTCATCTCCCTATATCCTTCGATGCAAAGTACACAATTTATATAAACTAGGCTTTTAGGGCTCTTCGCGGCTATCTTTTATTTCAATTGTGGACATATTCTCTCTGAACATTTTGTAAAACAAAAACAAACAAAAATTTCACGGATTTTATAAAAAATTTAAAAATTTGAAAATTTTTAAAAATTGAATTTTGTTATAGGCATATGTTTCTTAAAATTCGATCATCCATTAACCTTCCCTGCAGGTCACGTGAGGTCCGTCAAAAAAATTAGGCCCGATCAGCTCAGCTGTTTTGAATTTATTGTTTGGGAACCGATCGGGCCCAAATTTTTTGTGGGAACTCACGTGACCCTAGGGAATTTTTATCGATGATCGAATTTTTCAGTACACAGTACACCAACTTCCTTTATCGTCCAATATTTAGTAAACCATCTCCATTTATCTTCCTGTATCTAGTACAACATCTCCATATATCTTCCAGTACAAATTACACCAACATCGTTTGTCGTCCAGTACACAGTATACCATCTCCCTATATTGTTTATGTATATAGTTCACCTTCCCCATATATTGTCCAGTACATAGTATACCAACTCCGGGTATAGTCCAGTACATAGTACAACATCTCCATACATCGTCCAGTATATACTACACCAACTACATATATAGTCCAGTGCACAGTACAAATTACACCATCTCCAAAAATCCAGAAGGACAAATTAAACGTCTCCCATTTTCTTCAGTACACAGTAAATCATGTAACTTTTCTTTTTGTTAAAAGAAACAAGTTTTTCAAATGATTCAAAATTTCTTTTTTTTCCAGCCATTTTTCTCACACTTTTGTTAAAGTTTAATTTTACATAATTGAGTCTGTAAATCAGTCCTGGTGTGTTTTTCATCTGCTTATTTGTTTAATTAGCTCTGAAGCAGCTATTGTGTTGCAGTAATTGTCAATTGTTAGCGAGATTACAGTTATGTTAGCTGTTAATTATATTATTAAAACTGGGGTACTGTACTAATGTGTTTAAACCTAAATATATCCATTTCATTCGTACTTTTCATAAAAAGTTTAAAACTAGTTTTCATTAATTTGATTTTAACTGCAATAAATGTTTGTTTTAGTTGCATTACACTGCGTTCACACGAGAAATAAAAAACAATGGTCTCCACAGCTAATACAATTCTTTACACACATTTCCTTGTGGTTAGAAGCTAAACAATAACAAACCAATCAAACCAAGTAAACCAGGCCAATATATTAGAAACTTTTACTTAAAGAGACAGTTCACCATATTGTCCGTGACATCCTTAAAGTAAAAAAGTTTTTTTTAAGTTGAAATAAGTTTGGAAAAGAAAACAATATCACTCTTTCCTTAGAAGAAATTTGAAAATTTAAAAATTATAATACTTTTTTGACTGTTAATAGGTCGATCTGAAAACTAGAACTCAATCTCAATGCTTTAGATTCCTTACAGCTAGCTTTGGAAAAAGGTAGCTTTAAAAAGTTCAACGCTCTAGAAAAAGGTAGTGTTAAAAAATTCAACGCTCAAGAAAAAGGTATTGTTAAAGAATTCAACGCTCTAGAAAAAGGTAGCGTAAGTAAGTTTACCACTCTGTAATAAGGTAGCTTAAGTAAGTTCAACGCTCTGGAAAAAGGTAGCGTAAGTAAGTTAAATGCTCTGGAAAAAGGTAGCGTAAGTAAGTTCAACGCTCTGGAAAAAGGTAGCGTAAGTAAGTTCAACGCTCTGGAAAAAAGGTAGCGTAAGTAAGTTCAACGCTCTGGAAAAAAGTAGCGTAAGTAAGTTCAACGCTCTGGAAAAAGGTAGCTTAAGTAAGTTCAACGCTCTGTAAAAAGATAGCGTAAATCGTTTTATAATAATTGTTTCTGCTCTACTGAGTATTCAGGAGATACAGCGCACTGAGTCATATTAAATGATTAATGATTTTGTTGGTTCCGTGAAACATGAACTTTCATTTTCATTTTGTATTTATTTTCAAAACGAAAATCATTATTTTAATATTTGCATTGTTATAAAAGAACTTCCTGATCTCATGTCCCATAGCTACGTTGCTATAACATAACTGGTATAACATAGATTACAACCCTGGAATAAAAAGACGACATTAAGGACATTTTTTGAGTATTTGATGTTGTTTGAAAGCAAATAGATTTACTAGAGTATCTGAAAATCAATTTATTATGCGAAATATTGTTTTTGTCTTAGTCGTTTGCCTCTTCCAGAGTTTTATGGGAGAATCAATAATTAGTTTTGAAAATAACTAAATTTTATTAGATTTTTCCTTTACATTCAAGATAGATTAACTAAGTAAGTAACTATTTAACATAAAACAAATATCGTTTTCTATTTATATCTAATTATGTCATTGTTATAGCCTTATAGGCATTATTGAGTGCAACAAAGTTTTTGCCGGTATTTTTATTTTTTGTTTAAGATCAAAATCAAAGTATTTTCAAACCGAACTTAGAAAGTTGTGAAAATACTTATATTTTGATCTAAAACAAACTATAAAAAGTAAAAATCGCGGCAAAAACTTTTTCGGACACATGATACCCATTACAATAAAATGTATAGTTTAATTCAATTTTACTCAACTGATTTAATAGAAGGTCGATAAAGTTACTTTAACACCCTGTTGTAGGTTGATAAAACAACTTTTTCACCCTAGAATGGGTAACATTAGGTATAAAATTGGAAATTTTGATAGCAGGGTGAAAAAGTTACTTTTTTGCCTTGTTGAAGGGCGATAAAGTCACTTAATCACCCTACAACGGCAAATAAATATCTATCTTTTATCTATAAATATCTATATAATTTACTATTTATTGTCTTGTCCTAAATCTGGTGTTGATATATGTATGTTGAATTTCTAGTTTAAACTAGTATTAAACCCTAATAACTATCTATCAATATATGTCCTCCTAACTATTAATGTACTTGTACACAATAAATACTTATCTAACTATCTATTAATATATGTCCTCCTAACTATTAATGTAACTGTACATAATAAATACTTCTTTAACTATCTATTAATATATGTCCTCCTTACTATTAATGTAACTGTACATAATAAATACTTATCTAACTATCTATTAATATATGCCCTCCTAACTATTAATGTAACTGTACACAATAAATACTTCTTTAACTATCTATTAGTATATGTCCTCCTTACTATTAATGGAACTGCATGCACATGATAAATACTTATCTAACTATCTATTAATATATGTCCTCCTTACTATTAATGGAACTGCATGCACATGATAAATACTTATCTAACTATCTATTAATATATGTCCTCCTTACTATTAATGTAACTGTACACAATAAATACTTATCTAACTATCTATTAATATATATGACCTCCTAGCTATTAATGTAACTGTACACAATAAATGCTTATCTAACTATCTATTAATAGACGTCCTCCTAACTAGCTAAACAAAAAAACATATCTATTCCTTTCAAACTATGAGTTTAACTATCTGACAATAAATACCTAGCATTTGGCCACTTAACTAGACTTTGTAATATTTGGACAATAAATGCCTATCTAACTATGAACCAATATTTATCCTCTTAACTACATATATAACTATCGTACAATAAATGCCTAAAATCCTAGCATATTTAACTGTACTGACAATAAGTATCTATCTATCTATCATATAAATATTTGCTTATGCAACTAAACTATGTCTAGCATAGTTGAAGTGCCCACTTGCCCACATACCTTGGTATCTAAGTATGCAGATATACTTGACCCTAAGGACAGAGTGTTGCCATT